TAGGATAATTTATTGATTCGATAATAGATGTAAAATTAATGTAAATAAATATACGATTTTAAATATGAAATATAAAATACGAAACATATATATCTTATATAACATTTGAAGAAATATGAGATAATTTAATTAACTTAATAATAGAATATTAATATAAGTAAATATGAAATTTTAAATGAGAAGTATAGAATATTAAGAGTAATCATTTTAATATCTTACGTATATTTAGTGCACATTGTTGCATACATTGTATATGATCATATTTAATTAAAAAGTAATGAATTATTCAAACTCTCGTTAAGAAGGGAATAAAGTAGTAGTTTAATACTTTAATTCTATATAATTATATGTTTGAAGACAATATGTTCTGGAGTAAATTATTAATTCGACAATGAATATGAAATATTAATGGAAATTAAAATAGAACGGTAAATTTAAAATATAAAATATTAACTATTAGTAATTCTATATATAACTTTCAAAATAACATACTCGATGGAAGATTTTAGATCTTCAAAAAATTTAGTGTAATCACCGACGTTGTACGTCATTGCTCTTTGCTCTAGAAAGGATCTGAGCCCACCGATGCGTGACAGGAGGTTTGTATGGGTAAATCACGATTTCAATGTAAATGTCAGCAATCGTGACTAAAAAGCATTCGTGATAAAAGATCATTGACGTAATAAACTGCTTCGAGGCAGCCAAAAGTAGAAGTAGTTTGGGAAAAGATTAGGATAACGTTGAGTTACGTAACATCTAAAATTAGTAACGTATATTTAAGTTAATAATATTTTAAAAGATATCGAATAATAAAAACGTGATGATATTTGATTAAAAAGTACTACAGCATTTAAAATATCGAATAATAGAAACGTCATAAAATATTGTAAAAAATCTTTTTATTTCTAAGTTACTCATATTTCATTTTTATTACTATTGTATTACACACATATATATATAAAATTTCAATATTTTTCAAATTAAGAAAGTATATAGACGATAAATCTTATTTATACAAAGGAGCGAATCAAGAATATCACGCTAAAGTAGCAACTGTGATACGCAAAATGTATATTATTCGCGAAGGTATTAAAATGATACTCGAACAGCTAATTTTAATAATGAATAATATTTTACACTTTTTGAACTATTTTCAATATTAGGAATTAAATTATTTTCCAGGGAAATGTGACTTACTGATCGTACAAAAATTTATATACAAAAATTTCAAAAACACGGATTCGTTCCTATTTTGGTTATATTAATACCAAAAACATACAATTGTTTTTCATTCGTTTGTATTTGGTTCGTGATTTCTATCATGATAAATTTTTCTATCTAAATGGTCACTAATATAATATGATCTTAAAAGTGTCTGTGAAGAATAAAAATATCGGAAACCATAGCAATATCGATTTTGAATATTTTGACAAAGAAAAGGATATAATTATTTTAATTTGTATTATGTTTATATGTAAAATATCCTTACAAGACTTAAAAAAGACTTCATTATTTCTTCTGCTTCGTTGATACATAGAGATTCATGCTGTCGAGAAACATTAAGACTTTATGCTTCTCCCTTAATTCGTAATATTATATTTTAGCTTAAATCATTTATATCTAATTAATCGATGTGATATTTATATCTTTATAAGTTCCTCCATAGCTGCTATTTCATTAGCTTCTTCCATGCACGCACCTACAGATGACAAAAAGATATAATATAATTATATGGTACAAACAATCCTAGTTAGCGAATATATATAAATAAAGATACATTATTAATTATTTATTATTTAATTAATAATTTCTTATTATATTAATAATTATCATTAATTATTTATGAATTCAATTATACATAAATAATAATAATATATTAATATTAATGATTAATATGTAACAAAACTATTATATAGTATAAGTAAAACAACAAAATATTGATTTTATCAATTGTCGTACATATATTTTTAAATTAAACATTTTGTATCAAAAGGGAATTCCCTTTTTGCTTTCCCTCAAATCGTAAAATGTGAGTAGTTCTGAGTCATCCACGAAAATGTTCAAATACTCCAAATAGTCCAAATATTTAAAGAATAAAATGTGTTGGACTAAGAATATATTTTGGAAATAATACTGTATTTGAAGTAAGATACAAGTGTTGAATATGTATGGGTGAAGTTATAGAAGAATCCGATAACGAATACAAAATTCGTAAAACATCGAATGTGTACATACCAGATATAAAAGTAAAGTATTCGAATATCTAAACATGAGAAAACATCACTGTAATTAAAGCTAAAGGTAGTCTAATTAAATATTAATATAAACTAATACAGCATTAATTCATACTTTTACAACCTTTTGTAACCTTACTAAAAAATATATTCATATTCAACGTTTTATGTTTTTTATAAATATATAATAACATACATAATATAAAAATAAATATATAATAATATGTAT